AATAATATATAATAGCTAATACTAATATAATCAATTCAATTCGTAATACTTTCTTAACCGCCTTCCAAAAAGGAGGAGGTTCTCAATTCGTCGGAATCTTTTTTAGATTTACGCGAATATTTGATATTTCAAATAAAACTACCTTTTTGGATTTTTTTTGCGCATTTATTTAGATTTTTGGTTCAATTCAATTCAATTTTCTTGTTAATTGCTTCCAAGCGCACCAGTTAAGTTCCACTTTAAAAGTATAAGATAAACAAACGATTATTTTCTGTGTTTCCACGCCAGAAGGCACCACTTTCTGCGATGCGCTTTTGATTGAGCTCAAAATACTCGTTAAATCTCATGTCCTTAAAATCATAATATAAGTACTTCCACATAAATAAAATAAATAAATAATAAATATGTTGGGATAATAACACACATCACCGTCTAGTTCCATGGTAAGCTACGAGGCTTGTGTTATGGATACCAGATCGTTGACACACTACACACATATAACTTTAAATACATACATATTATAAATATACACACCCATGACTAGAGTACAAATATTCGTGTTCATCACATAAAATGAATGCCCCCAGCGGGACCCGGACCCGCGACCACTGGCACAGCAAGTAGGGTCGTACAAACTCCGCCAAACGTGTCGTCAATCAATGTGAAGAGAACCGCTTTCTTTAAGACAGATAGACAAAGCTCAAAATGTGATATTCCAGAATAGCTTTAATTAAATAACATATTGACCGTACAATTTAATTTATATATATATATATATATATATATATATATATATATATATATATATATATATATATATATATATATAAATTAATTATATATATTTATATATATCTTAGTTCTATTATATTGAAGCTAACAACCGTTTCATAGAATATAGTGACACTGTTCCAATGTCGTAATCTTGATGGAGAAACATGTCAATCAAAATATATCATTAACTCAAAAGCCATAAACAAAGAATCATATAGAAACCAAAATTAAAAGGTACACGCCATAATCTTTTATATTATTATTATCCATACTATACTAATATAATAAATGTGAAAGTGTGTTTGTTTGTTTGTTTGTTTGTTTGTTTGTCCTTCTTTCACGTGGAAACGGAATGACGGGTCGGCGTGGTTTTTGTGTGGAGATAGTTGGAGGGCTGGAAGTGACATAGTCTAATGTTTTTATAATACAACCCAAAAAATATTTATGATCAGATTTACTTGAAACTTTTTATTAATGCTCTTCAATACAATTAAATAAATACGTGTTTAAGCATTTTTCGAAATTCATCTCCTAAGGGGTAAATTAGTGCACAAAAGTTTGTATGATATCTACTTTTTTAGAGTGTTTTTGTAGTTTTAGCGCGAGCGAACCCGCGGGTTCTGCTAGTTATAAATATAAAAACAAAAGTGATTGACTGATGTATCAACGCACAGACCATATAGGTATACATACCCTTAAGGCTAGAAAATTGAAATTTTGCACACGTATTCCTCATATGACAAAAGCATCCACTAAAAAAGGATTTTTCAAAATTCAACCCCCATGGGGGTGAAATAGGGCATAAAAGTTTGTATGAAACTTTTTATTCCTAGGAAATATTTGCCTGAAATTTCGTATGAATTGAGTACGGCAAAAATAATTTGTTACATATCTCAGTGTTTTCTAAAATTCAACTCCTAAGAGGGTAAAATAGGGGATGAAAGTTATATGAAACCCAATTTTAAGACATTTTTTGTAGTTTTAGCGCGAGCGAAGCCTCGGGTTCTGCTAGAAATAGATATCAGAGATGATAAATTAAATGAAGAAGTAGGTAATTAGTACTTTAAGTAGAATGTGGATAATTAAGTTTATATCGCATTAAATCATAAAATATTTATGACTAACTGTTGTTTCTTAGAATTCTGATTCAGAAATTGTACTTATGAGTTAATAGCATTTATTAATATTTCTATGTTTATTTTGAGTGCACAATGAAGAGAAACGAGAAAAAAATATCACTTGATATTACCCGACTGTACCAAAAGGAGGATAAAGTTTTTTAAGTGTTGTCTAAATGGCTTGATGCAATTAAACGTATGAGGGAACAAATGGGTTCGAATCCTGGGTTTGGCTAAGTATATTCCTTGAAATTTAATATTAAGTGAAGCATAAAGTTAGGAAGAAGGCGATGTAACATGACTACCACAAAGAAAAGGACTACTTAGTTTTTCTATTTCGATATAGTGATATAATTTGTTTGTTTGTATGTGTTTACATACACTGCTCTAGATGATAAGAACCGGCTCTAAAATTATGGATTCGAAAGTTGATCCTAGTCATTATTGAACATTTGAACATATATGAATAGAATTTAGCTATAAAAAAACTAACTATTTCTAAAATGTTTTTAATTGATAGCTTGTTAATAGCTAGTAAAAAAAACATACAGCCAAATTTAGAACCTCATCCTTTTTGAGGAAGTCAGTTGAAGCAAAAAAAGAAAACTGGTTGATAAACAGAGGACAAAAAAGTACTGTTAAGAAACTGCTTTGCCTTTGCCTGTTTATATATAGATATTGAGAGTATATTCCTAAACTTATAGATACATAAATATAAGTACACGACTCATTTAAAATTTTCATTGAGCCTTAATCGAACCTACTAAATCTACTATGACACAAATTATATTATAAAAAAAATTACTTACCCTCGCTTCGGGTGAGCACCTATAGTTGAATGGTGTTTTAACGTATAGATGACAAACATACAGAGAAAACATATTTTTGTACCAGGAACCTTTAGTAGGTGTACGCAGAACAATTCACCAAAGTTTCATCACAATCGGATGAATAGTTTGAAAACGTATATATTATAGTAGGTATATGTATAAAGAAATATTAATTTTTATTTTCATAAATCAAAGCTATTTATAAGTAAGAAATCTATGCCATCTAGCGGCAATAACTAATATTATAAGTGATGTTTCGCACTCGACTTGCTAAGCTGTATTGATTATGAGGTTGTCTTACTTATCGATTAGATGGAGCTTTTGATAAGCTTAGAATTCAAAGCGTTCGCTGAAAGTAGATAATTAAAAAAGTAATAAAAATGATATTGTTTTTATATAAATTATTATTGTTATATAACAATAATAATAAATGTGTATATTTATGTTATAAAGTTTTAATTACATTTTTCAATTAATTTAAACTTATATATTTTTTTATAATTAAATTAAATTAAATGTAACTTCTTGTTTTAAATTTAACTTATCAAGCGAACTGCTTTTTTTGTAATTTTTTTTTTTAAATAATATTTACTCCATAACACTGAAAATTATTTTATAAATTTTAAACAAAATAAATTTCGTAGTTGAAAGTATTCCATATCTCGAGTAGATTACACTATAATATTTTTAGGATCTCAATTTTTAAGAATTAACACGCTATACTTTGGAAATTAAGAATATGGTGATCTAGGGATTGGTTACATATTGTTCACAAAATTAGAAGCTCCATAATAATAAAAAAAGCTCCAATAGTCTCCGACAAGAAAGAAAAGTAAAATGCATAAATGTATAAAAAATAGTACGCGGACAGACAGATATGGTGAAATTGTTATCACGGGACCCTAAAATACATAATATATTATGTGTTAATAAAAAATAAAAATATATTTTCTTAGTCATTTTAGTCTTATAAATATTTTGAGACATAAACACACAGCAGCAGTACCATCTAGTTCCATGGTAAGCTACGAGGCTTGTGCAATGAATACCAAATAACTAGATTTGCATCGAATACTCAGCCTATTATTCGGTATTCAGCCTATTCAGCTACTTTTTTCCCATTTGGCCGAATACCGAATATCTAGATCTACTATTCGACCGAATACCGAATACTTAAGTAATGTGGTTTGTTGTAATCAGATAATAATAGTGATATGCGTGTGATTTAAAGAAAAGCGTTTTTTTTATAATCTTAATTAAGCCTATAATAATATTTTTATTTAATTTCTTTTTGATCAAGATAAGAATTATTAAAAAGTGCAAGAAGAGGTGGGAAATTCAAAGTAGTTGAAACGCAACGCCATTGGTCAAACCGAATATGACGTCACAGTATATCATAACAGAGCGACTTTGTCGCTTACAAATTGAGTCGTCATATCTGTGTATATCATACTATGACGTCACGCCAAGCGCGTGAAATAGCGAGCGTTTAGAGTATCCGTAACGATATGACATTTAAAAAAATATTAAAATTTGTTTTTTGGAGCTGCATATTTTCTTTACAATTATATAAGGATGTAAGGTATTGCCATAAAAAACTAAAAAAAATCAAGCATATTCCCTACTGGTAAAAAGAAAATATTGATTTATTTTATAATAATATATTTTTCTTATAATCATTAAAATAGTCATATTTAAAATAGTCATTTCAATCAGCTGTCCATCCGCCGCATCCAGTACCTTACGGTAAATCCTTTCACAATTGATGGAATGGTTTTATTTTACACCAGTTAATAGTTATTGTCTTTTCTTATTGGAATGAATCATCCTGTAGTAAAAGGTATCCTAAATGTTGACCCTAGTAAGAAGTTATAGCTTCACAAAATTTAGTTAAAATATGTTTAGAACTTCTTGCATGAAATGTAAACAGATATACAGATAAACAGACAAAAGTTTCAACAACTATTATTTTAGGATTTATATTGTGTACAGAATACGTAATAGTCATTGTTTTAAAAAATATTTTATGTACATATTTCGCTAAATTACTGTTTTATTATATGTATAATGTTAATGCTGTCTATTTTCAAAATAATTTGAATCCTCAACCAATGGGAACGCAGTGAAAAAGATAAGCATTGAGAAAACTAACGAGTTTTCTTAATGTTTATTGTTTTACTTTAATCATCATGTTAATAAAAACATTAGTAAGTAATGCAACAATAAGGTTTTATTTGAAAATTTAAAAAATAAACTTAAAATTTAAAATAAAATATCAATAGTGATATCCAGTTAGTGGATCAAAGGTGTGTGGTCGTTTTGGTCCGCTGAAGTCTTCTTCAATATTTTTATCGGTAGTATAGGGAATTGCGCTATAATTGGAAATCATTAAATCTATATTTGGTGAATAAGATGCTTTGAATATTGGAATATCCGGTCTTGAAGTTGACACAATTTTTGGTATATTAATCATATTTTCTTTATTGATTCCATAAGCATCATTGAAATCGGTAATTGTAGGTGTGTTAGTATTTCCATATTCGTTTACGAAGTCAAGTTTGGTAGTTGAATAATTCGGAAACGAAGTAGGATTTAGATTTTCACTTCCTTTTTCTTTTATTGTTGTACTACTAGGTGTAGTAGTCGATTGGGACGTACCCGAGTAATATTGATCAAAATTTGGTTTTGCGGATTGTGAAGAAAATCCAAGAGGCCCATTTGATGATATGGGCAAATATGGATTTACATATTGCGAGAAGAGTGTCTCTTCTGAATTCGTCACTTTTGGGTAAAAATATCCATTATTTGTCAATTTAAAGCTATCATTACTCTTAGAAATATCAGAAAAATTGACTTGTTTTTTTAAACCATCTTCATCTGGGTATTCAGCATTATTATGATTCGACTGAGAACCATCATTAAAGAATTGTCCTGGTTTTTCATATATCTTTTCTTTACTGTCAGAAGTTTCCATTTCATCGTCTTCATTACTATTTCGTGATACATAAGGAGTCATAAAAGGTTTTGGTGTAACATTTACCTGTTGCTTATTTTTATTTCTTATACCCTGCATTTCAGAAAAACGAGATGGAAATTCTTTTGCTTCTTCATTTTGGTTAGAGATATACTGATGACCCATTTCAGTAAAAGATGTTAACTTGGTAATTGGAGATGAATTAGTTGTATCATAAGTAGTATTATTAACTTGGTCAGGGAATTTTTTATAGAATTGATCTTTTATTTTTTCAGGTATATCTTTCATTTTTTTAATGTATGTATAATTTATGTCATCTTGAACAACTTCCTGGTTGTTATCTTGATTCAGCTCTGATATATTTTTAGAATCACTCTCATTTATTTTTGTTAAACTTTCCGGCTCAACTGCTTCTTGGATAGATTCAAGTGGTATATCATTTCTTGAATTCAAACGATCGATTTTCTTTTCTTGTCCCCTTATATAATTGAAGAAACTAGGTTCGTAGAGGTTTTTTTGATATTTTTTGTAACCATATTTATTGTCGTCATAGGAACCTGAAATAATTTCATTTTTTTATACGTTTTGTATACAATATACATATTACTCTCAAAATGGATGATTTTTTGACTTAATTTACACAAATGAAACATTAATAAGTAATAATAGCATTTCTAGATTAAACCTTTTTCTATTATTTATTTATTTATTTATTATTGATAAAAAACATATAAATATCTGTATAGTAAACACAAATATTGACGCGACAGGGGACTTAAATTTAAAATGTAGGGATGAGATTAATAATTTGTTGCCTTAAAATTTTCATGTCTTTTACTTACCATCATCAAAAATTCCAGCTTTTTTATCCTCAAAAGCTTTTTCTATAACCTTTAAAATTGCATCTGGTATTGGAGGCGGTGTTGGTAAATGATCACCTTGCGGTTGAAAACCATTTTCATCAGCTGTGTATACAACACTGTAACGTTTCCCATCATCTCCAATATATGAATAAGATCCTTTAGCTCTAACACCGTTCACTGCAATGCCTCTTTCATCGCCGTGAATTCCATTTGATGTGTCAAAGCTATATGCATAACCTTCTGGTGTTAATAAATTTTCATAGTTCAGAATAACAGCTTTTCTATCAGCTTGAGCTTGAATTCTTTCAGGGTGTTTAGCAATAACGTCAAAGTTCAAAGAATTTTTATTGAATGGGCTTTTAGTAGTCGGAGAGTAAAAAGTAGAAGAAGCTGTATTAATATAGTTAGGTAACTTGCTTGGATTAGAGTAGTCGGAAAACTTTGGAATAACAGATGAGGGCGATGGTGTTGTAGATATATAGTTAGTGATAGGACTCAACGTTGACAAATATTGGTTAACATTGTTATTGTTTTTGCACATGTTATTTATAAAATCAATTGGTAAAGATCTATTGCATGGTACATAAATTACATTGTCCACGCCCCCAATGGTTTGAGGTTGAATTGTATTAGAAGGCAGTGAAGACTTTGTATCAGCAATTATGTTACCAGTTTGAAATTGTGATGGATAATTATTATTCTCTATTATTAGATTTGCAGGAAAACGATAATTATTTTGATTTTGATACTGCTCTTTATGAATATTTTGAATTATAGGACTTTGACTATTAGAATAATTAGGAGTATAATCAGAACTTGTTAAATAGGCTTCATCAGAATTATTGGGTTTGGTTTGAGTTATAATATTATTCATTACAGGTAATGTATTCTCAGATTCTTTTTGTGCATCTGAAACTTGTTTTGATCCCACTCTATCAATACCTATAGCGATTTCCACATGGCCCATGTAATCATTTCTGTTAGGATAGTCTAACGGTACTTGAATATCTTCAGGTCTACCTCCAGAGTATTCCGCCCCGGGTGGTAGGTAGGTCCGATCTAGTTTGTCAGCACAAGCAAGACTTAGAATGATTAAAACCTGTAAATATATACAATTTTGTGTTATTAAAATTAAAAATTACCGCTTTCTCTTACCTTAACTATATCAATTATGATAAAAAAATTTTTACAAAATTCCAAAGATTAATTAAAATATTATTTTTTTATAAATCTATCACGAAAATTTTAAAACTTCTTCAAAAGATATATCGTGATCACAAAAGTATAATTATTTATCCTACAGATATAAGCCTGCATTACAATATTATATTTTAAATTAAAGTTAAGTTTACAGTGAAATAGATCAATGCCTAATTATATTAAAACACACCCAGAACATCTTGCTTGATCTTACAAAGACCGAAATCAGAGATGATGTGTGATTTATCCTATCAAATATTTCTATATATACAATCCTTAAAATCAACTTTAATAGTTTTTAATTTATAGGACGTGATAAACGTACATACAACGTGACAAAAGCCTAATCGTTGCTGTCCAATTCATGGTAACCATTAAGAGGGTTTTTTTATTTGGTCACGTTATGGCATTAAAATTATTTATTATTGATACCTTGACATTTTTTGGGGAAGGTGTAATTGATAGTAATGTATGATCAAAGTTTACAATGAAATCGAAAGTGACTTCGAGCGTGTCGTGGATCAGATCAAAATATTTTTTTTCAACTTTCTACATTAACTAGTAAATGTTTTATATTTACGAAAATTACATTAAAACACATGGCATAAAAAAAGCGACAGTGGTAGCCCAGTGGTAATGCGCTCGCTTGGGAAACCGAGTGATGCGGGTTCAAATCCCGGGTCTCGCACCTCTGGTATTTTCATGTGCGAATCATTTCTAGCATGATTACCACTTGCCTTACTTACGGTGAAGGAAAACATCGTAAGGAAACCTGCATGCCTGAGAAAACTTAGCAAGTTTTCAAAAGACATGTGCAGTTTGCCAACCCGCGATTGGCCAGCGTGGTGTACTATGGCCTAATCCCCCTCGTATTGAAGGGAGGCCCGTGCCCAGCAGTGGGACGTTAAAAAGGGCTGAATACATACACATACATGGCATAATTTATCATAGTAAAATACAGTAACTAAAACCATTGATATCATTATGGTGATAATGATATATATAAATTAAAATCAAAAATATTATTTAGTAAAGAACACACTTTAATTATTTGTTTCTTTCGTAACGTAAATAAAAGTAAATCGAATCACACATAATTTTAAAAATTTAGCTTTTTGCAATATTAATTCAATATGTTGTTTTGTAATACTTAAAAAAAGCTAACTTCCTGAGCTCCTTTCTATTTGAAGTTGGCTTAAAATTAAGCTACAATACATGAACTAATACATTATTACAGTAAATATAATAAACATCTAGAAGAATAAATACGTAATGACAAACGTATATATATAGTAGAATTCTAACTGAGCGGAATCTGTACATTAAATATTTTTTAGAAAATCTCATTGAAGTAGTCATTATTATCGATACAGAGGCCGAATCTATAGTTTTTATAATTTTTGTCTGTTTGTCTGTCTGTTTGGGAACGATAAAACTACTGGGCAGATTTTGATCAAATGTTAGCCGTTTATCCTGGTCAACATGTAGGATACTTTTTATTGATCCCTAGACAAATTTTAAGGTTTAGTATAGAAATCTATACTAAACCTTAAAACTTGTCTAGGGATGAACCAGAGCGGAGCGAGGGTGAGTCACTAGTATTATATATTGTTGTATATATATATATATATATATATATATATATATATATATATATATATCTATATATATATATATATAGATTACACGTAATAGTTTCCGTCAGGATTCATTAACTGTACCATTGTTTAAAGCTTATAATAATTGCAAGTTCAAAGCTCATGGCTGCATACATGATACGAGACGGCATGTCGTGAGGTAATCAACCTCATTTTGACTTATATAATATATTTTTTTATAATTTAATAAGTGCGAATGTAACTTGCGTGGTTACTGTTCCGTATAGAATGAACAAGCGGTTTACATAAGAAATCTACTACCATTCATCAATATAGCTTGATGTTTCTGCTAGACAAAACTTAAAGATATACCTGCAACTCTTACGCTTTGATTTAAAAAGTATGTATTCAAAATGTTCTAACAAAAATACGACGAATTAACTATATTATGCAGTTCATAGCGGCTCTGTTTTTTTTTGAGAATGAAATAAGCTCTATCAAATTCAAATTCAAAATATTTTAATTAGCATTAAAATATTTCAATTTTTTACTTAACATCATGAGCACTACTAGTTCGGAAAGAAGAAGCCTCAGACCTGAGAAGAACTGGCGAAAGAAACTCGGCTATTATGAACTAATTATTTCTTTTAATATTATTTCTATGAAGTAATACCCAATTGAAGTCAAACAGGAATCACAACACTCTTTATATACATACATACATAATTATGTATATGGCGTGATGAATATCTTTTATTTTCGTTTTTTGTAAATCATTATTTAGATGAGAGCTTAATCTTTAACTCTATGAATAATGAAGTAATGAAATGCGAGAAATAAAAATCAATCTTAGAAAATAAATTAAATACTATATTTAGGAAATATACATCTTTCGTAGTTAAACTAATACTGGTATCCGCTTTTCTTACTAAAGCTTGGTTTGCGATTTCTGCTTCCAAATTGTCCATTTTGTGATGATCGGTCTTGGATAACTTTATGAGCGATTGATGGTAAATATGTTTTGGTTATTTCTCCGTTTGAAGTTTGAGCAACCGGTGGCAAGTAAGCTTTATGTACTCCAGCATTTGAGGCTTCTTGAGGTGCATTTGCTTCAACATAATCAAGATCCTGTATATTTTGGATAACAACACTTCTGTAGCCTCCAGAGGAAGCAGGTGCAGCATGAGTTACGATAGAATCTTCATCAGTGATAGGTTGTTGTTCATTGACATTTACGTAGTTAGCTTGTTTCGCTTTATTGGAGTTAGTAATGTATTGGCTGTAGCTGGATTCTTCACCGTACTTTCTTTCGTCGTATGATCCTAAACAATTGTAAGTACATTTTTAATCATATCTTATTAAATATTATATCAATTTGTTTAGCAATTATGTACACAATTTAAATCAAATATATATTTTACTTTATGTTTCTACGAGTATATTAAATCTATAAGAAATAATTAGATTGATGTTTTTAGTATTTAGACTATGATATTTTACCATCATCATAAATTCCAGCTGCTTCATCGCGTGCGTTTTTTTCAAGTGATTCCAGAATTTCAGCAGGAATAGGATGAGGTGTAGGCAAGTGGTCACCTTGAGGTCTGAAGCCATTCTCATCAGCTGTGTAACTTAAAAGAAAAAAGAAATATAAATGTTACCAATCCTAAAATTAACGTTTTTACAAACTTTTATTTAACTTGCAATATTTGTATAAATGTTTCTTCGGGTCAAATCTTACAACTGAATTTTAAAGCTGTTATCCTCAACTGATTCAGCTGAAATTTTGCATACATGTTTAATTTAGATGACAATGCATGGTTAGATAAGTGATGTCATTTTAAATCCAATATGGAAACTTAAATTTAAATCATACCCATTTATTAAATTACATAATTTTTATGTTATAAAACCTTGTTTTTAATTAAAAATATTTTTTAATACACATTAGAGTACGTTAGGTTATTGACACTATATTTTCTTTCTTCAACCCTTAAGCGTAAAAATAATGAGAAAAATGCATATTCATGTATACAATCAATAAATAAAAATAAATCTAGTTTCCATAGTTACGTTACAACTAAACAAAACATATTTATTTACCTGATGCTGTATTGCTTCCCATCGTCCCCAGTGTATGAGAATCCACCATGAGCTTTCACACCATTTATTGCTACACCACTTTCATCAGCGGATATGCCGTTCTCCGTTTCATAAGCATATGCGTAAGATTCACCATTGTTCTGATACTCTTGACGAAGAATTGCTGCATGTCTTTCATAGGCAGCTTGGGGACGTTCTGGTCTTTCTTCGTACTTGATATGGTAGTTCACATTTTGCAATTGTTCCACATTACTTTGAGCAATATTAGCTTGTTTTTGTACATGCACTAATTCATTAACAGATTGCTGTTGCTCTGAATATAAACTGTTAGACTCAGAACCGGTTTCTTGTGATGTTGGTATATCAGCTACGTATATAGGCCTTGATATAGGGGCTTCTAAGAACTCTGATCCACCAGAACTTTGGGCGTGAGGCGGAAGATAGGTCTTACCCAATTTAGCCGCATTTGATATGGCTATTACTGTCAATAACACGATCTGTAAGAATGCCAATTTACATTTAGAAAGTATAACGTTTAGTAAATGGACGATATTTATGATAATATTTTAGAAAAGCTTGCGTTTATTAGTTTTTTATTCAAATTATATAATATATAGTTACGATATAATCTCATATCGAGGAATATATATTTATTACGATTGTTGTAATATTTGAATTTTATTTACAAACTTAAAATATAAACTTTACCAATTTCATGTTGCTATTTTCTAATACACCTCACAAAGGCTAACGATTGAATGATATAATTTTAAAACCGTGTTTCGTATATATACTACATCCTGCACTTATTGATCTACATTAATATTGTGCTCTTTATCTAAAAAGTCGTGGCTTCTATTGCCTAATCAAACAACCCACGAGGATGGACGCATCTAATTGTTTTGGATGGTTGTATACAAATATTATTGCATTTCTTATATTATATACACCTTTAATTAAATATGATTATATGTTGGATAGTAGAAATTTCTACAATTTGCTATAAGTTCGCTTTTATAATATTTATTAATTTGTATGTATGTGCAATAATTAATCAAAGAAATCAAATATTTTAATAGTATATTCGATTTTTGATGTTAAAGTTAATTGCTAAGAACAATAAATTCAAGAGTATTCTAAAAGTGGCGATTTAGTAAATAATATCAAATACTAGCGACTAAAAAGGAGATTCTTTAAATAGATATAACTTTTTTATATATGCACCGATTGAAATAAAACAAATACTAAATTTTAAGTGAAGCTTACCACAATATATCAATGAAAGCCGCACCCAATTCTGTTAAGCCGTATCTGAGATTAGCTCACATAAAGACACTGATAAACATAAAAATTCTAAAAATCATTGTTTTGGGTTCTATTGCGTTAATAAAGACGTCCAATAATAGTTTTTCTCAAATATCTTCCATGTACAGACAGCGATCAGTTACAATTTTATTATATGTATGTAGATTACTAATATTATATTTATTATTTGTATCTTTACGGATTTCACGGGCTCGAAGGAAGCTCCTTTGGAAGGCTTGCGTGGGGACACAGGTCCAACACGTAGAGGCCTCTTAAGAGATTTAAAAATTAACAAATGATGCGTCATCCGAGATCCATCTCTAAGTAAGCTATAAGTAGATGCCTAAAGACGGCCTCTAGATAATACGTATGGAAAATGTGGAAAAATATGGAAAAAATCTGTGTTATGTGTTAAATTGTTACATTTTTTTACTGAAAATGTTGACTTGGCTCTTTCTAGTATAAAATGTTCTAACGAAAAGATGCTACCAAGTACACGTTCATATCAGTATTGTGGCCTTGTTGCATTCCAACAGTAACTGGTCTTAATATTAAAACGTTATATGTAGTTAATTAGAACATCGTTTAAAAATTCGTGATGTTAGAGCCTTGTAGTGCAATGTGCAATTTCTAACCTTTTTCATCATCATCTTTTCAGTGAATAGCTTTAATTAAATACTATAGACATTGATTATCTTACACCATAATTGATCGATTTTAAAAAAGAAGAATATACCCAATTTGAGTGTATGTTTTTCTTTGTATTTATGTTACACATTATCTTCGTAAATATATTTTAATGATTCTTTTTTTTATAGGTTAATAACAATTTTTATCGAAAAAATTTGACAACGTCAAAACAAAATTTATTGTGTAATCAAAATTTATTTTAAAATAATATCCGAAAATAACTTTTAAAAATTTAAGTAATAGTATAAAAAATGTTTTAAAAGACAAAAAAATCTAAAGTGCATAATACAAGACTTCCGCGATACCATTGAGACAAAGAAAGACAATAGCATTCCCAAGGAGGGTTGACGTCAGGCAGGCCGGTCGTATAACTTTTGCCCAATCCTATCTGCAGTACAGAAGATGTACTGCGCCGACCCCTAGTGACTGGGAAATTGGCAGGGAGATGATGATGAACAATTTTCATAAAATTTCAAGACAACCATCCCTAAGGGTGGATATTAATCATGTAAAGTGATTTAAAATCGTGCAAGGATATTTTAATTCATAAGAAATTATCAAGTACAAGCATAATATTAAATCATTTCAATAACATAACTTTTTTTATTATAATTTGATTTTTAATTAATTGACCCGACGCGGACGTACCTTGTCCTGACAACATTTTAATTATTTCGTGGGGGATCGTTTGAGAATTCCATCATAATTTTTCGAGCTATTTTTTTTCATTTTCGTACCTCAAAACCATATTTAGACTATAACAGACATATTTAAAAAGGAACCAAATCGATCCAGTCGTTCTCAAACGATGCGTGTACCAACGGACAGCATTTCATTTTTCTTATATCTATAGATAAAAGTACTAAATTCAATGTATTTTTAAAACTATGTATAAAGCTGCAATTAATTCTATGATTATTTTATGACTAGCGAGTTGTTCTCTCTTAGATCTAGTTCGTCCCTAGGTACGTTTTAATGGTTAGTATGGAATAGATAGACTATATATTGTACATAGGTTCCGGGGCAGAGGCTGACTGCTACCGGACGCGTCCCCGGGTGGCGGATAGGGGAACACCACTCGCGCCTGTTTGGCCCCAACAGGAGCTTGTGGTACCGGAGCAATCCGGCGCGGACCAACAGCCAGGAGGGGAGGTTGAGGGAGAGGCGTTAGAGGGCGCCGTCTCCTTCTTGGAGGTAGCGCGGTGTCTCCGGCCGTTTTGCGGTAGGAGGTGCTGCGCGGGCCACACTGCCGGGGCTAGCCCGTCGGTGCGGCGGCTGGAGCGGGGCCATTTCGGTGGTCCTGCGTATGGCGAGGGATGTCGGCAGCCATTTTGGTCCGGAGGTGGGCCGACGGTAGGGGGGCCGCGGGGGAAGAGGAGTGTCGGTATGGCGATGCGCCGCTCGTCCCTATCTCCCGCGGCCTAACGGGGCCACCACCGTTGATGGTGGACGCGGTGGGGCTGCAGGGGAAGGGGAGTGTCGGCGTTGTCGCACCCTCTTCTCCTGCAGCCGTTTGTGTTTGGGCTCGTTCGCGGGCGTCTTTGGGGGGTTTGCCCAATTTGGGTGGGGTTTATTATTTTTGCAGGTTGCCCACTTCGGTGGGCGGTGTTTGTGTGGTGTGGGGCTGCTCCGGGTACTTCTCTGATCAGCAGAGTGGACTTAGGAGCGGCCTCACTTCTTCTTGGGTTGATAGTCTTCCCATAATGAGGTTGTCCCGCTTGGGGTGGCCTCATGGTTGGTGGCTTCGGCCAACCGTCGGGGCGTCGCGGTTGTATGCGAGAGCGATCCCGTGGCGTCCCACATGGCGGCAGGGGGGGGGAAGTTGGGTTTTAGTGGGTATGCCGGTCTCATTAGCCGGAGAGTCTCCACATAACCACCCCGGGGGAAGTCGGGTGGTATCCGTAATAGGATTTCCCAACTATAAAAAAAAAAAAAAAAAATATATTGTACATAGGTATGATGAGGTTTATATCTCTAACTTGAGAAATGATGAACCACCCCCCTTTTCACGCCCTTAAGGGATGAGATTCGGGATAAAAACTGTTCTATGTCCTTTTCAGGGTCTTAAACTATCTTCATACTAAATTTCATCTAAATCGGTTCAGCGGATTAAGCGTGAAAAGGTAACAGACAGATAGAGTTATTTTCGCATGTACAAGGTTAGTATTAATATGGATATAATGATTTTTTAGTTTCATTTGATGAGATTTTTCTGATTTTCAATCATATTTCATAAATAATTTACACACTAGCATTTTTTTTAATACTTTGCTCACGACTTCGAATTCAGGACATCAATATAGAAATCGGGGCGAGTTTTTACACATGTCTAATACTAATTGACGTATGTATGTCTGTTGTATTGGCAACATAATCACGTAACAAAAAAATGAAACTGAATATTAAATAAACTTTTTTAATCTCAAAGAACTAAGCTCCTTAACAATGTAAGTAATTAATTTTGAGTCGGCTCTAATCTAACACAACGTTATTTCATCGTTTGATTATTTTTGTCAAAAAGTGTTTTTGTGTATTTAAATAGATAGATAAGATAATACTTTTTGGTTTACAAAGAAATTTTACTACTTAATAATATCCAATACTTTTATTAGAATCTATAATAATAATAATATTAACATAAAAAAAAACAATAACAAAACTATATATTAATATAATTAAAAATTAAGGCCTTTTTTACAAATTAAAATGAGATCAAGTTGGACTTATCTATACATTTTAAAAATTTGTAACGAAGCCGAATCTGCATATTAAATATTTTTTGGAAAATCTTATCGAAATAGACATTATTATCGATAAAGGGGCCGAATCTATAGTTTTTAGAATTTTTGTCTGTCTGTCTGTTACCGCATCACGGAAAAACACTGGAGGGATTTTGATGAAGTTTGGTATGATGGTAGCCAGTTATTCGGGTCAACATATAGGATACTTTTCAGCGCGAGAAAATGTCTCATTTCTGAGAAAAAATACAAAAAGTACATTATAAGAGTATACTAATATGTAAAACCTAAGAATTTGGTTTTTGGTCATCTGAAATCGGGCGGAGCCGCGGGCAATGCTAGTATTTAATAAAAATATAAGTCGTAGTCATACACAAAAATATAAACGTCGACTTCATAACATTTTTTCTTTTTTCATATCTATACTAATATAATAAAGAGATAAAGTTTGTGAATTGTGAGTTTGTGACGTTGTAAGGGGTAATGATCTCTGGATCTACAGAACCGATTTAGATGAAATTTGATAAAAAGGCAGTTTGTGACCCTGGGAAGGACAAAGGAAACTTTTTGTCCCGGAGATCATCCGAAAAGGAGTGAAAATGGGGATGAAAGTTTGTATGGGGAAGCAAGCTTGGGACGAACCCGAGCGAAGCGAGGGTGAGTAGTTGTTATATAATTTTTAACATTATAGTTAAGTAGATGATTATTTATATTGACATAACTTGTTTTATGAACCGATTGAAATAAAACAAATAGGTATTAATGTTATGTGAAGCTCACCACAATACATTAGTGAAAACTGCACCCAAATAGGTTAAGCCGTTTTTGAGATTAGCACGCACAAACGCATAGACATACAGATAAAAATTCTAAACATCATTGTTTTAGGTGCTATTTGCGTTAGTAAAGACCTCCAATAATAGTTTTACTCAAATATGTGCCATGTACAGAAAGCGACCAGTTAGACTTTTATTATAATATTAT